CATAGAGCCTTTACTACATGAAAATGAAAATTAATGAATACACTGTGTACAGTAATTTACCTGATAATACAGACCTCAGAAAAATATTTTATGAGAGCTTTTATACTTTTATAAAGCTGTCTATAATGAAAATTAATTAACTAAAGATTTTTTTGCCCTGCCAGGGTGTGGCCGAGTTATCCGGAGTGCCGGGTTATCGAGAGCCGAGTTTTCGAGGTTCTACTGTATTTAATTTTGTTAGAAAATTATTTAATAATTGATAATAAATTTCTTTTGATTACTAGGGTTGTTCAAATAGTAGTGCCTCTAAATTTTTGCTGTAGCAATAAAATGCCTTAGCTATGATAAAAGTGAAGTGAAATTTACAGATAATACAGCAAAACCCAAGACATCTGTAATTAATTTTTAACATACAATAGTTATTATCCATCTTTATACATGTTCAGCAATATGAAATGAGAATCCTACCTTGTAAAAGGAGACATTAGTGTGTGAGTAATGAAGTGCAATCCTCATTACATAAAATAAATGGAAGTCTGAAAGTCAGATACACATTGCATGAAGAATATGGAAAAAATGTACAGCTAAATTTTGTGATAGATTCCCATTGGCCAGATGATAATCAGGACAGTGTGAGATACACTATCATACTGTAGGATGACATGATTTATCTTTTCAGCTCTCACTTCACTAATGCAAAACTTCAGCTATTTTAATGTCTCCTTATAATGGAATACTGTTATTGTGTAGCTGTTTCAGGGTATAAAAAAATTCCTTTTCTGTCCTGTTTGTAGCCCACCAATGGCCAAGTGGATGAAATCACTGGTAGTTGGTGCAAAGTTTGCACCTGACCAACTAACTGGCCATGTGGAATTTTCTGGGTTTCTTCACATGTCTAACAACTAAACAGGGACTAGTTTTCCCATAGAAAGCATTCTGGAAAGCACCCCCATTATATTGCATTTCCTTATCATATCAAACCAATTAAAACTGTCTTATATGGAACATAACTTTTCCAGCACACTTTTTATTCATAAGCTTATTGCTTTAATCTAATTATTATTATGCTTAACAATATAAAACTGCCCCCTATAAAAGAGAACAATGTACTCTTCATTGTTAAATAGCATATGATTCTTCATGAAAACATCTTGGCAATTGATTCATTTGGTAGAATATAAATTAATTAATTATATTCAATCTTTTAATTGTGATAATTATCATTTACCTTCAAAAGGATATAATGCTCTTGCTGTCCCTAATACAGGCAGTGGTTCCAGATCAAAATCTTGGTTCTCCCCATTGTCATATTCAGGTTCACCATCTGCATTCACATCTGTCTCACCATCTGCATCAGGTAAACTAGGATGACTGGTTCCAAGACCACTTTCAGGACTAAAAATTTTGTTCAGTATAAATAATAATAATTATTTAATGTTAAATCATTGAGTATATTAAATGGCAAATATTCAAAGAATCATTTGATTTTATATCTTTTTCTTTTTTCAATTTTATATAACCAATCAGAAACCAGATCTGATCTAATACAAAAAATTATTTTTTATCAAATTAACAGATTCTCAACTGAAAAAATCTTTGATTATTTACACAAAAAATTGTTAAGACTAGAAAATGTGATTTTTCTAAACTCAAGTTTAAAAAATTATGTAACAGAAATACATAAGGAATTATTTTAAGACATCAGAAAAGTAAACATTTTTATCAGTATCTGGACATTTTAATAGAAGTTAAAAAAAAAACAGTAAAACAATCTTTAAAAACTGACAACTGTTTTTGTATTTATGCTCATTTCAAATTAACTAAAGTATATGTAAAGATTATCTGACAGAACTTATCTTTGAATATATATATATTCTGTAAACAAAGGAATATAAAACCTGAATCCCAATTTTATCTGTATCTGGATATCTATTCTGTATTAATTTCAAATCATTATATCCATCATACATACTTGTATAGTAGAGATAATAATTTGAAATTAATGGAAAAAAAGAAATTAAATTCATTTATCAACTATAAAAAAACATTCTAGTAATATTTCTTCCGTGGATTAATTAAATCGTTTTTTAATACAGAGGTAGATGCACTAAATTATTGATTCATTAAATCTAATAATATCTAATATACAGTATAATGTAAGTGATGAAACAGTACATATTGCACATATAAACAATAATTAAAGTCAAAAAAGAAATAAACTGGATGAAAGCAATTAAATAACTCAAAAAATCTTTACACTACAACATTGCAATATTGGAGTTACTTTTTAATGGCGACTATATAGTCTAATATACATATATATAAAGCAATTTTGATGTTACATCTAACCAGAGTAGAGAAAAAGATGGTAGAGATAATTATTATTGAACCAAAAGCATTATTACTGACATCATGAACTAAAGGTAAATTAGAAGTAAAAATTTCTTTTTATGTACTTCTTTTGTATTATTAGATTGTAAAAAAAAAAGAAATTATTGAACACATGATACATAAGCTATAAAAATGTATAGAAGTAGAATAAATTAAAAGCAAAAGTAATTAAATGATATCTAAAAGATACTGTGCAGCTTTTTGAGACAAATGACAATGTGCTTGTAGGAATAAGAATAAACTATATGCAAAATAAAGACACACCAGTACACCAATCCACTTAAACAAACAAAAATATTAATGTTTTGTCCATATCAATCAAATAGCTTCAGGTTACATAAGCCTATATACCAGTTCTTGAGGTGTTTAATATGCAAAATTAAGACATTTTAATTTAACATTTAAAAATATTAGTGGAATAACAAACTGCAATAGCAACCATTTTATAGCAATAGCAATCTTGAATGTATTGAAGCAAAACAAACAAAAATAAATAGCTAAAAAAATTTTGAAAATTATTGCTCAAAATCATTAAATCAGGAGTCAATTTCAATTATAAATGATCATTTTTCAAGATTTTACATTTTATTCTAAAATGATAGAAAACATTATCTGAAAATGATAGTGAATAGAACAGTTGATACTAACATATTCAATTATAAAAGACAAAAAATAAAATAATTATGTTAAAATTTAAAGATTATTTAAAAATATTAAATTTTAAGTTACATAAGAATGCAGGTTTTACCATTGTTTCTTTCTTTCAAATAATATTTGTAACTTTTACAAATAAAAGAAAAGCACAAACTTTATTTGCTTGATATAGAATACTGTATTTCCTTGAATAAGCATCTGGCATTTATTTCAATGGGTCAAAATCCCTGACATTTAATCAATACTAGTGACTATTTGAGACTTGGTGCTTAATTTTTACAGTTAGTTGATTATTATGATTACTATAATTCATTTTGTTTCAGTACAGTAATACAGATTTTAGCAAAAAAGAAAAAAACTTCATGTTTTCCATTGCTAAATTATAAGAGCGACCCACTAGTATTTTTATTATTTTTTTTTTATCAGTAACTTACCATAAATTTTAAGCAATTATTATTTTATTCAACTTATTGTTCAATTTTTATATGACATCATATCCTTAAGGTAAAAATAATACCATGCATGCAAAATGTGCAACATCACATTTTCTCATGAATTTTCTAAAAAACAATAAAGCAATTCTTCTTTTTAAAGAATTAAGAAAATAATTATATTTAATGCAAGTCAACAGAATAAGTTTATTTTGTACAGTGCAACATAAAAATGCTCATAAATAGGTACTTACTAAGTAAAATAATACAGTATTTTCATGAAAATAACAGCATTTTCTTACATATGAAAACTGCTTGTTTGAAACATGTCTTGCTTCACTTACAAAAGCATGTTTTTAAATGCACCAGCCTGTTTTCGCTTATAAGGAAACTACACTGATGCATAAATGTAAATTAAATGTAAAGGTATTGATATAGTAATTATTCAGTAACATCTCTTTGGTAACTATTATTTTTATTTTGGCTTTCTAATTTTAACGTTTTTGAAACTAAAAAAGTTTTATTAAAAATAATGAATTCTTCAACATATTTTGTAGAATACAGTGCAATTTTGTCCAATTAAGAGCATGCTCTTATATGCACAGAAACATGATATTCTTAAAATTTTAAGGGCGAAATGGATCATTTATCTTATTTTAAGCCATAGTAATTTAGCTTTCTTAGCTAAATATAATCAATTATCAAATACAATCTGGTATATGAGTTTCTGTTACAATAAATTTATCCATTGCAATATCAAAATAAAATAATCCTAATATTATGAATCTTTTGAAGTGTATTTGCAAAAACTTCCAAACGTCTACTAGTAAACAAGGGATGCAATGAATGATTCTGTTCCTATTGTCTGCTTTCATTTGTTTCAATAGTGCTGTATCTATGTTCTAATGTTATTGTGATTTTTATTATAAAATTTGAGCTTATTCTTAACAGTTTATTGTAACATTTTCACTATCTTACTTGTTTATTTTTATTGTTATTCTGTTTTTATACAGCAATATTTTAATGTAAAATGTACAGTAACATTACAACATTTTCATTACTGTCTTTAGTTTATTAAATAAAATGCATCTCATATATACAATTCCTAATAGGGGCACTAACAAACTAATTCATTTTATAGCTGTTTACAAATATATCCTTTCATAATCACATTAATTGTTTGTTAATAAATTCCAATGGCCTTACTGTTATGTTTAATATCATGCTACAATCATAAACTGATGTATAGTTGTTTTATAGTGTTTTAGTGTCTTTTAGAAAAATTAATTTGTATTATTTAGATGAGAGCTCTGCAACCAGTGTGCCGTGGCACAATGCCTCCAAGAGGAGGAAAAGCACAGTTTGTAGTGAACACATGAATATGATTAATATATGTTGATTGAAAAAGGAACAGTGATTTGCCTATTACAGTCGACCCCCTTATAACACAGTAGATATGTTCCGTTCTTTATGAAATTTATGTTCTAAGAGTCCTTGAATACATGAGCCAATCACAGCCCAGCAGGCATGCAGTTTACGGACTATGGCTGTTTGAAAGGTTTTCTTCCATAAAATTAATCGACTCTAGACTAATTCGACTCAACATTTCCAAAATATGTATAATTTTTTGGGAATAATCCATATAAACTATGCTATAAACAAAAAATTGTAGGATTACTTACCGAGTGTACAGTACACCGTTCGACAATGCCATTGCTTAAGCTTGTTTTCATCATGGAACTTGTCATAGAATGGCGTTCGCGTGCTTCCTGATAAATTATTTTTTTTGCGAAAAATTCACTGAACTTTGGAGACATCATTAATATACTGTAAATATAATTTTTATGGACGTTAAATAATAAATGGTTTTTAGTAGGTCCGCTGCTCGTTTAAACCCAACGGTTTGTACAATATCCGCTATTGGTCTAGATTCGACCAATCGTGTCGTGACATGAGTCGGCGATGACATTTTACCAAATTATACAAGTTTTTTTAGCGTGTTTGTACGAATACTGTCGTAATTTTTTCGCCATCATATAGGAATCCGAACTATATGAACCCATGTTATAGGGGGGGTCGACTGTATATGTTTATTGCTACTGATGTTTGTGACAGAAGGGATTCTTACAAGCTTCAAACGTTTAGACCTATGAAGTCATATTTCACAGAATATGTGCATGTGTTTACTCACAAACTCATCTATAAATTTATTATCATATTTAACAAAATCTGTACATGTGTAAATTTGCCAAGTTGCATGTATCAGTTGCCATATCAATTTTTATAAAGCAACATGATGATACTCTGCTGCATGCACCTTTGATCATGAAATTAAGATTCTGATCATGTGCTTTTCACACTAGGCCTGCATGATACTTCATCTAGGGTGTTTTCCATTATTTATTACTTATGCAAAGTAAAAATAAGAAAATTGATTATAAACAAATTTAATATATTCTTATATTATGACAAGTAAAACAACAGTAAATCAGTATATATTGTCTTTGGTATACACTTTAATGCCTACATTTTTTGTATATTTTTACTTGTGGCATACCACGGAATTCTGGAAAGTATCTAGGGGGGCCAACAGTTTTTGCCCCGGGCCGAATTGAAAAGAAAACTTTTTTCACGGGCCGAACCAGAGGCTGCCCTAGCAAGATTTTGAGGTGGTGCAAGATCTCATTGTGGTGTCACCCCATAGAGACTAAATTGTACATAGAGATTACAGATACATTTTTCACATTATCATGCATTATCAACATTCTATGCTGTGCTGAAGACATTTGTAATGGAGCATTAACTAAACGCACAGTTAGTTGTTGACCGTTTTCTTTAGCCATCAGAATTTTTCATCGAGATATTAGGACTTACGTAACTAAAATTGAAAGATTAACCATGGGCTGCATAAATTCATTA